TGATATCTGATTCGGCAAGATTCTTATCAAGAATCATCCAGCCTGCTAGACAACCTTTTTAAATTCTTTCCGCCTGCAATCAATTAACCTGTTTCACAGCCGCCCCTCCAATAGGGGCGCTACATTTTTACCCTGGAGACAACCCTGCCTGTCCAGAAGGGTTGTATGCAATAATAATACAGTACACCTAATCTTGCAGGAACAATTACATTTTAATATTATAATCCCAATCGGTCCAATTCAAGAAAAAAAAAGTTGAATCCCAATTTTGAGGGCCTCACCGTCCTGTGTCTAGAGCTTTGTGTGCGGGATGTACCCTAATAGGTCAAGAAACAAGAGCTGCATGTACATTGCGCCTACAAGGAGTCCAATTTCATGTCTCAGGAATCGAACTCTCACACTACGGCTGCCAGCAAGACGTTAGATAACCTCACTCCTATCCTTTGTACTACTGGATTTTACCATGAGGCCCAATTGGTCCAATTCTCAAGTTCTATTTTGCTATTTTTACATAAAAATAGAACATATAAAATGATGTGGAGAAAAAAGAATCGAATAAAAAAATTAATTGTGTTTTAAACTAGTAAATAATATATTGATATGTGACATTATATAATCAATTATATAGAATTTAATGTACATGTAGCAAATTCCGACCAAGTGACTCCTATCTTGTAATAAAATAGAACAAGGATCCAAACAAGTATAGTTGTTTTTTTATCGATTTGTGAGGGAATGACGACAAGTTGCAACAAAAAACTTCAGCGTCATGGTTCTATATATATATATTTGTGATGCGTTCAGTAAATCAGATCTCAAGTCATATAAATCACACCACCTCATCGAGGTATTGCATTTTAAGATATTCGAGGTTAAAAAGATCGTGAATTAAATAGATGATTTTACAATGTAGCCCCGGTTTGATCCTCATTCTTTGGGGAAAAAATATATTTTTAAATAGTATTTTAATATCATTTCAATCACACATTCTTCAATAAAAAATATTACAAGTAAATTCAAAACTTTTTCGTTATTTTTTAACCACACATTTTCTATCAATATACTATTCAAAATTGTATTTTTATAAAAAGAATGAGGCTCAAACAAGGGCGTAGAAATTATCTTAACACTCATAATCACCCATGAGCCAAGCATCAGTAATTTAAGATTAATTGTACCAAAATTTTGATCATTTATTAGCTAAGAATATAGTGTCATTAATTGAAAGATAAAAATATTTGTACAAAATCTTATTGATAAAATTGTGTCCTCGCTCTCACAAAATTAGTGGATTTCAAGTGAATTTAAAAAATGTCGGCTTATGATTCCAACTATCGTATAAGTAGTGAGTAAGAAAGTTTGTAAAAATAGTTTGTACATGTAGCACATGGCATTCTTCTTATTAACAAGGCAAAGGCGAAACCAGAGAGGGCATTCTTGTTATTTAACTAACAAAGCAAGCCAACTATTATTATTAATTTATTATACTTTTCTCTATTTGGAAACCAGAGAGGGTATTCTTGTTATTTAATTAACAAACAAGGCCAATGACCGAACGCAATTAATATGAGACAATACGACAGCGCGGCCGGACCTATGAATGTAATTTGCAAACCGACCGTCCTGAACTATCCTCGTAAGACACGATTAATGTTTCTTTTTAACCAATTCAATTAATTTTTAATTTTTAGAAAAAAGGGAATCAATGGTTTATTGTCTCTCAGACTTTGAAGCTGTTAAGGCATCTTTACATTCTAAAAACGCTCCAACCATTGTCTTCAATCATGTATTTGAAACCAAGAATACTAGTCGTTAAAATTAAGTCTGAAATGATGGAAGTATCAGTCATTTGGTCAAGGATAAAAAAATTATGAAACTCATAAGCTATAATTATAGAATTATTTTTCTTGTACGATAATCCTGATTGACAATGCACTCACAAAAAGGGGGATTAACGATTTTTTTATTCAGCGTAGGCTCCCCTCCCATGTGTCTAATTGTCAATCGAGGTTGTAAACCCCAATTGTACACATAGCATAACTGATAATTATAGCAGTGTATTGACTTATTTTCATTAATGTTATTTTGCTTTAAAAAAATTACATTTTAATTTTTAACCCCACAATACATCTAGGTCCACATCTGGGAGTGGTAACATCCAAAACCTTCCAAAATCAAAATCAAAATCAAGTGATAAATATCAGCACCGGATCTAGTTTCAAAAGCTTCATCTTCTTGGTAATGTTCCAATGGCTAATCATCATCCATTATGTCGCAAGTTAAGGTTTTGACAAGGAAATTATGGGGTTGGCTTCATTGAGATACGAACCGAATATCTTAAGAGCTTGTTTGGTAAGAATTTTGATAATTGATTTTTTTGACCATTAGAGATAAATTGGATCCTATCCGTGAGAAAAAAATTCAAAAATGACGGTTAGAATAGTGAAATAACGGTCAAAATTTTGATTTTAATTGATTTTTAATCTGTAACAAACAAGCACTAAGAAAGCACCTGTTTTATCAAGCTCTCAAATTTAACGGAAGATGCGTAAAGTGACTCTTTTTCCTGAAAGTAAAAAACAAAAAATCAGTACTTATTACCTAATAAGGCATATCAAGAATAACCACAATGGACTCGATATAAAATATAACTGATATAGAAACAGAATGCTTAAGAAATTCATTTAAGAGTGTGTTTGATTGACATGGAAAATATCACCTAGAAAAGAAAATATTTTCCATCTTTTGTGGAAAATAAAAACCACCTCTACCCAAGAAAAATGTTTTCCTTAAAAATAAGGAAAATTAGACATATTTTCAAAAGTTAGAAAATGATTTCCTTAGAAAAAATAACAATCAAACACTTTAAGTAGAAATTTGGGTGAAAAACTAATATTTTTCATGAAAAATAAATATAATCAAACACATCCTTATTCTGATATCCATTTGGATGTATAACTTAAGAAGAATCGAATTGGATCGCTTGGTTCGATTCATATCTAGTTTAGAAGTTTTATCCAGCCCTAGGTAATTCTCATTACGAATAACATTATTTTTATTAAGCCCCTGTTTAACCTCCATTTTTTTGAAGGAAAATGTATTTATATTTTTGGAGAATGTGTAATTTAAAAATATATTTTTTTAAAAATTACGTGTAAAATTATTTTGTGAAAAATGAGGGCTAGATGTGAGGATCCATCAATTTTTAATTAAATATCTCAGATTATAAATTTGCTTTTTCAAATGCAAAATCTTTAGTTAAACTTACAATATGCTTATAGGAACTTCTTTAAGCCACTGGCCCCATTTTTTCAAATTAAAATGGGTGGAATAATTTTTTTTTTTTAAATGAGTGATTTAAAAAGAAAGATTTTTTTTTTTTGCGTGTAATATTATTTTATGAAAGATTGTGTGATTAAAAATCGGAGAGAAAAATGAAATTTAATTTAATGAGAGCCAAACGGAGCAAAAATTAACATCTAGTTCTTATTATTATGATTTAATTCGTTAGATTTAATTAAGGTTCCATGTTAGAAAGTATTTTAGAAAGTGATTTGCTGTTTCTTTTCAATTAAAATGTCACACTCAATTTCTATTAGAAATCAAAATCTTTCGATCTAAAAACAATTAAAATTTTTGTTCAAAATAATGCCAAAGGTAACCTCTATAATTGAATTTAATAATTCAGTTTCATTCCGTTTTCAGACGTCAATGTTATTAAAAATTCTATTTGAAATCAATTTGATTTGACTCGATTTAGATCCATGGCCCATCTTGGCCCATGCCATTCTATATAAATTATATGAAAATTTTCATAAGTGAGAGATTAAGACCCTATTTGAGAGTGATTTTGAAAATTATTTTTTTGACCGTTAGGAGAAAAGTGGGTCCACATGTGAGAGAAGAAGTCAAATATAACAGTTGGATTAGTGAAATAACGATAAAAAAATCAAATTTTTTGAGGAAAAAATCACTCTCAAACATGCTCTAAGATTGGTATATTTCAAAATTCAAAAAAAAAAAGTTTCAAAATTCAAAAATCAAAATTTTATTAAAATTTATTTATGATTTAATTATTTAATTAATCATTTAATTAATTTAATATATTTAGGTCACAGATCTATACAATTTGGTCACGAATTAACAATTTAATTATTAATTTATTATTTTTTAGTCACAAATCAAAAATTTTATATCACAAATTTGTTTTACGATCACAATGCAAAAGTTTTGTAGGTCACAGTTTTTTCATCGATCACAAATAAAAAAATTTATAGGTCATATATTATTTTCTGATCACGAATAAACTTTTTTATAGGTCACATATTATTCATTGATACAGAATCAAAACTTTTATTGGTTACAACTCATATATTCATTTCAAATTATTAGATTTTATCAAAATCTACACAAAAGTATGATTTGTTGCTTAACCAAACAGGGGCCTAGTGTAATTTGAACATTTACTAGTTGGTTTAAAAAAAAAAAAAAGAAATACATATTTTGATAATTTTACACTTCCAGATAGAGATCACGTGTGCGCGTTGCATGAATATTTATCATCTAAATAAATATATTTTTTGTTAGGTAAGGATTTTCTAACGTGCATACGTGACTATCACACTTATAGAAGGTTGGAGATTTTTGAATGAATTTTAGTAATTTAGCGTTAAAAGAATCCGAAACTCCATTTTCAAAGAACTTATCAAGCTTTATTTTAAATGCAAGTTCAAGAAAGACATTATAGTAGTTACATAAAGACAGGAATAATGACTCAGAGAAGGAAAAAAAAAAGGTCCAAATGGATTTTCTAAATAGTTTGTGCACAAAGGAAAAAGAAAGGGAAATTACTAATAGAGTTAAACCAGGGGACAAAAGCGTGTCTGCAAAATCCTCAAATTCGATTCAGTTTGCTTTAAAAAGTAATCTGTACGAGAAATCTTTTCACATGCTATATTCATATAACAATAATTTAATATTATTATCACCAACATTACAGAAAAGAAAAAAAAAAAAATAGAGGAATAAAAGCAAGATAGATCAATTTATAACAGTTCATTGAACCACAAACAGGTTGGTTTTTTTCTTTATGTAGTTATTATACCACTCTTTCTGTGTGTGTTGTGGTCAAAAATTGAACTTTTTGGCGTGTTTGAGTTTGTGGGATATAATTATTTTTTAGAGGAGCAGGGCAGTGAACGTGCTCCTCTGTCTGGTACTCTTGAGCTTTGCACACAAAATCTGTACATGATTGAATTGTTGGTGGTGTTTTTCATTGTTTAGTAGCACACCCCTTTTTAAAGTATATTAGCAGCCGGAGGATAGTCTTTGAGAAAGAGAGAGGTAAAAAGATAGTAATTTTTCTTTGGAGTTCGGGCTTTGTTTCATCTTTTGAGGTCTGCAACAAGGCCATGCTTGTTTCTCCCATCATGGAGGTGTGAAAAAACTTACTCTTTTTTTAGACAGAATTACTTTGATGGGGATTAAAAAGATTTTTTTTGGAAGGCCGGTCTTCCCTCTTTGTGTAAATTATTTGAGTGACAAAAAACAATGTTGTAATCATAGAAGTACATTGATTTGAAGAGAACCCTATTATTTGTGTTGCTCAGATATAAGTCTGAAAATTAATGGGTGTATACATATATTTTCTTGGGGGTTTTGGTTTCTTTTAGCGGTCGGATGTCAAAGTGGGAGAAACAAGAAGAAGAAGAAGCAGACTGCTGAGAAAGGAAGAAGAAGATATAGTTTGTAGAATGACTGAGAAAAGGCAAAACCACCATATGGTGGCTCTGAGGGTGAATGAACAACTGGGCACAAAGAGAAAGTATTCAATCATCCACAAAGTTTCAAACCCAAGAATCTTGGCACTTTGGATAATGCTAATGTTGATTTTTAGTGCACAAATTTATGATTACATGGACGATGAGTACAAGGAGAGGAGGAAGGAAGTGCTTGTGAGCATGTGTGACCAAAGGGCTAGAATGTTGCAGGATCAATTCGGTGTTAGTGTTAACCACGTGCACGCCCTCGCCATCCTCGTTTCCACTTTCCATTATCTCAAGAACCCATCAGCAATTGATCAGGTATTTTTTGCTTATTCTCGAATTTTCATTGTTTATGTTGAAAAATTTATGAATTTGAGTAAGCTCTTTTCTTGTTTATGCTATGGAGTCCCTATATTTCTGTTGAAAACTTAGATGTGGTTTCTTTGGTATTCTGTTTCCTTATTGATGTTCTGCTTTTTTATTACTTTCTGAATTTTGGACATTTGTAAATGTTTATCATCACGATGTAAAATGCAGCAAACTTTTGCTGAATACACTGCGAGAACTGCTTTTGAGAGGCCATTGCTGAGTGGGGTGGCATATGCAGAGAGAGTTGTAAATTCAGAAAGGGAAGAATTCGAGAAGCAACATGGGTGGACAATAAGAACGATGGAAAGAGAACCTTCACCTACCAAGGATGAGTATGCTCCAGTGATATTCTCTCAAGAAACTGTGTCCTATATTGAATCACTTGATATGATGTCTGGGGAGGTAACTAAATTAATTCAACGTTGAAGTGAATTAAATATTTATAAATGTAACTTTTCAACTGTGTATTGATTGCGTAAATTATTCTGGCTGATGCAGGAGGATGGTGAAAACATATTGAGGGCACGGATAACTGGTAAGGCAGTTCTTACGAGCCCCTTCAGGTTGTTAGGTTCTCATCATCTTGGGGTTGTTTTGACCTTCCCTGTTTATAAATCAAATCTTCCTCCAAACCCAACTGTGAAAGATCGCATCAAATCAACTGCAGGGTAAGCCTTTGGCAATGTCAGTTAACATCTGTATATGCACAACTTGACTTTTGGGCATTTCATATCTGTTCTCCAGGTTTATACGATTATCTTTCTTACCGAAATTAACGTATATTAGTTAAAAAGTTATCAAGTCAACCTAGTCAATCAATTGCTTTTGAAGAGTTTCTAGGGGATGAGATTGAGAAACGTGGATTTCTATCTATGATGCAACTTTGTTCCAATAAAAATTTTGGAAAATGTTGCTCATGAATACGTTAAGTTTGCTCCTCAAATAAAAATCAGTTTCAGGAGGACTTAGTTAAAATCTACATACAAAAAAAGAGGGGGTGGGGAGCGGTTCATTTTCACTTCGTAAGGAAGAGACAGTTTTTAAAGCTTGTTACACATTTTGGTTGTCCACTACTTAAGTTTTTCTGGATCCCATATAACCTAGTTCTTTTGCAGTTATTTTGTGGTAAAATAATTATTTAAACATAGGATGCATCATGTTCCTGTTCCACCTTGAAAATTGCATGTATTTGTGTTAACCATAGATCTGCAATTTCAATGTTATTTCATTTAAAACTTTTAATGATATACTCCGCATTAAAATATCTACTTCATTATACCAGATCTCACATAGGAGTTCTTATTTTTCCTTATTTATAGATAATCTCCCATAATCACCAACCTTAAATAAAAATTTTAGTGAAAGCGATCAGCATTAGCAGCCAAGCAATGGCATTAACTAACATTCAGCTTAAGACCACTGTTCATTTCCTTGACTGTACTTACAATTTATCATGTACTAGAAGCTGCACATTTTTGGTATTGATCCCGCATCACGTTCCTGCTGACCTATTTTCCTTGATGTGGAGTATTTGAGAAATAGAAGCATGGAACTGAAATTCTGAAACTTCAATACATTACCATCCCCTTCATTTATAGATAATCTCCCATAATCACCAACCTTAAATAAAAATTTTAGTGAAAGCGATCAGCATTAGCAGCCAAGCAATGGCATTAACTAACATTCAGCTTAAGACCACTGTTCATTTCCTTGACTGTACTTACAATTTATCATGTACTAGAAGCTGCACATTTTTGGTATTGATCCCGCATCACGTTCCTGCTGACCTATTTTCCTTGATGTGGAGTATTTGAGAAATAGAAGCATGGAACTGAAATTCTGAAACTTCAATACATTACCATCCCCTTCATCGCTTCAATACCTACCATTTTCAAACTCAATAAAAATGATTTTTAGGTTTCAACTGCAGCATTTGTAAGTCAACAGAGCTTTACTGGTCTTCTGGGACAAATGAAGCTTGTAGTTTCAACTTTTATTTAAGGATTCAGTTTTGTAGGAATAGCATAATAATATCAAAATGAAAGAACACGTTTGACTTGCCTACTAAATAAATCTAACCACCACAAAGTTTCTCTGTCAAGAACATCATTAGTCTACCATTGCTTGCCATACCTCAATGCAATATCTGTTGTAGTGGTTTAAGCAACAGAAGTTTTATGTGAATACCATTTACAACTTGTAATGCTGGACCTCTTCTGAAACCAGGACATTGTCCATCTGCTTGTTGCTTACCTTGATATTCTACTGCACAAAGTGCTATTTCTTTCTTGATCAGCTAGGTTGTCATTCTTCTCATATGCTTGAATCTACAAGCTTCCTCCAAAGTGATAAGGAATTACATTACATATAGGCTCGTCATTCAGTTTGATCATTATGGAACAATTCCAAGATTTAGTCCCAGACTATTTGAGCTCATTTAATAGCCCGCCACAAGATACAATGACGCACCATGGAAAGGCTCCTTAATCAATGAACCTAAACCAATTTTTGAAGAAAATGATTCAATTGCAACGGAGGAATAAATTATGTAAAAAATAAAATAAAATAAAATATGTTAATAATTATGTAAAAGGAAAACATGATATGAATCATGAAACAACATTTTGGAGCTACTCTTTGACCCCTCTGCTTTATATTTTAACTCTATGCAAGACCAGAGCTCATACAATCACCATCTTCTCTTTTATAATTCTGCATGCACATTGCACATACGTGTGGACTGCATGTCCACTTAACTTTACATCTCGTTTCATTTTATTTTTATGATAAACAGTATCACAGTTGAGATATTTATAAAATTGAGTTAAACTGAAATTTAAAACAATCGGCCTGGAGATACTTTCAGTGCAGAGAAATAAAAGAATGATATGGGAGTGGATGCTTGAAAAGAAGTGAGTACAACACTTGCTGTAATTGATGTTTCCATGTTTGGAGGTTAAAATATTAGTAGGAAAGTTGGTCAGATATGGTTGCTTATTCTTCTGTTTATTGTTTCATAGACTTGGTAAAGTCTAGGGTAAAAAGTTGAGAATTCCCTCTTATGATTGTGAGGAAACTAGTATTGGTTACGAAGACATTTTCTCTTTACTAATTATTGGCCACTAGGGAAAATGTGGCTTTGACTTTACATCTCAACCTCTGCATACTCATGGTTCTTGGTTCGTATATTGTTCTCTTCTATTTTCATCAATGAGATCATCAAAAAGAAGATTAAAACATTGATGTTTCATTTGTGGATTTCTAAAAAGAGATATTATACTTAATATTTTCTTCCTTAAGAGCCTCTTTAGATGGTAATATTTTTCTTCTTTAAAGCATGTTTACACTGTCTAGAGATGAACTCTGCCATCCTATTGAACAATGTTAGTTGGCTAGTGTCAATAATCTTCTGTTGAATGCATATTGCATATTATTCTTAATGGTAATTTCGTGTTTTCTACTTTAATTGCAGTATTATTATTTCTTGTGATTCTGAGATCATTACACGTGTGGGAGACTGTTTTAATGTTTACTGAATGAACATTTGGAAGTACTTAAAGGATTATAAAATACAAAAAATTGAAGTAGAACACTAGGCTCACTTTGTTTTTTATTTAATTTCTATGCTTTTGCTGAAAATTCGTGTGCTAAATTATGCTCATTGTAAACAGTTACCTTGGTGGAGCCTTTGATATTGAATCCCTTGTTGAAAATCTACTAGGGCAACTTGCTGGTAACCAGGCAATAGTGGTTACCGTGTATGACATTACCAACTATTCTGATCCCTTAATCATGTATGGGCACCAGTCTCAAGAGGGTGACATGTCCCTTACGCATGTGAGCAGGCTTGATTTTGGAGACCCCTTCCGCAAACATGAGATGATGTGTAGGTAGGAGCATTGAGCCATTGAGCATCTATTTTTAGTGACATATATTCTGTTAGGCATACATACTGAGACTGCGAGACCAATTTGTATGCCCACTTAGGTATCTTCAAAAGGCTCCCCCGTCGTGGACAGCACTGACAACAGCATTTTTCGTCTTTGTGATTGGCTTTTTGGTTGGGTATATGATATATGGCGCAGCGATTCACATTGTTAAAGTTGAAGACGACTTCCATAAAATGCAAAAATTAAAGGTCAGAGCTGAAGCTGCTGATGTAGCCAAATCCCAGGTATGTCACGCAAATGTGTTCACCGTCCATTATGCAACTACTGCTGTTACTTTATGACCTGAATTTCATCTCTTTTCCCATGCCAGTTTCTAGCGACTGTTTCCCATGAAATAAGAACTCCCATGAATGGCATCCTTGGTACGTCAAAGTGTCTTTTGAATGATCTTATCTATTAAATTGGGCTGGGATGTGAATATTGATTTTGTTAATGACAAGTGATTGCAGGAATGCTAGCTCTGCTACTAGATACAGAACTGAGTTCCCCACAAAGGGACTATGCTCAGACTGCTCAAGCTTGTGGGAAGTCACTGATAACATTGATAAATGAAGTGCTTGACAGGGCGAAGATTGAAGCGGGCAAGCTAGAACTTGAGGCAGTCCCTTTTGACCTTCGATCCATTCTGGATGATGTTCTATCCTTGTTTTCTGAGAAGTGCAGGAATAAGGGTATTGAGGTAAGGCCTGAAAAGCTCTAACATCTTCTTAACATAGCTTCCAAGTGGAAGTGCTGAAAATACTTCATGCTTGCTTCCTTCGTGTTCTAACTTTGTGTTTCCATGACTTCCTGTTCACTCTTCTGTGGCTTTGTAATAAATGACATTGATGCTACTGGAAAAATTGATTCGAACTTCCTAATACAACACTATGCAATTCATTGGACAGTTGGCAGTATTTGTTTCTGATAAAGTCCCTGAAATTGTTATTGGGGATCCAGGAAGATTCAGACAAGTGATTACAAATCTTGTGGGCAACTCTGTCAAAGTAAGTGAATTTCAATGCTTGCTATACTTCAGATGTTAAAAGAACCCATCTCAAGCTTTTCTGCGTTTCTTTTACTCAGAGAGAGGGGTGGGGGGACGGCCTTTCTCCCACTCAAATTGCACTGCATATCATCCCTCAATTAGATTCATAAAGATTTCAACTCCCATCCTTCCGACTGGGATAGGAAGTTCTTGATGGCTATCAAACCCAAATTTTTTTTAGTAGTTCTATGAACATCAACATACTTATGATTTATTTCTTGACAGTTTACTGAGCGAGGACATATATTTGTTCAAGTCCATTTGGCTGAACAAGCAAAAGCTATGATGGATGTCAGAACTGAAAAATGTTTGAATGGAGTATCTGAATGTTTAGGACAATCTAGCAGTCATCAGTTTCAAACTTTGAGTGGTTATCAGGCTGCTGATGACCGAAACAGCTGGGATACCTTTAAGCATTTGATTACCGATGATGACTTCCGGTATGATGCTGCCAGCAAAGCAATGAATGATAATACTCATCAGAATGTCACGCTGATGCTGTGTGTTGAAGATACTGGAATTGGGATTCCAGAACATGCACAGAAACGGGTTTTCACGCCATTTATGCAAGCTGACAGTTCAACATCTAGACATTATGGGGGAACAGGTATAGGGTTGAGCATTAGTAAGTGTCTTGTTGAGCTAATGGGTGGTCATATAAACTTCATTAGCCGTCTTCATGTTGGAAGCACATTTTTGTTCACTGTTGACTTCCAAAGATGTGAGAAAAATGCAGTTGGGGATCTGAAAAAAACTGTATCTGATGATCTTCCAATGGCTTTTAAAGGGTTGAAAGCTATTGTATTTGATGGAAAACCAGTTAGAGCAGCTGTCACAAGGTATCACCTCAACAGGCTTGGTATTCAGGTTGAAGCTGTTAGAAGCATGACAGCAATTTCTGCATCTGATAAAAATGTTTCCCTGGTATCTAAGTAAGCATTTTTATTTTCCTTTCTTGCTACTGTGGTTTTTTAACTTCAAATTACTTTTGTTTAAAGCTTCATGCTAGACCTGTGGGTGATCTCTACCAAAACTATTTAGCCATGAAGCATGACTAGAGTTTTTCACAGTATTATTCCATTTTGACTTGGTTTTGCTTGCTTGTAGTTCAAAATTTTATCCACAATTAACATCTAAAACAAATGAATGTCTGCTAATTATATAAAAAGCTGTATTGAATTTAAATATATATATGCAGAACTGAAAGGCTGCCAGATTTGATTCTGGTTGAGAAAGATTCATGGATATCTGGCAAGGATGATGGTGTTAATTTGCAGCTATCAGACTGGAGAAAAAATGGCCACTCTTATAAGTTGCCGAAGATGATCCTTCTTGCAACCAATATTACCAGTTCTGAGCTTGACAAAGCCAAGGCAGCTGACTTTGCAGATACTGTGATCATGAAACCTTTAAGAGCGAGTATGGTGGCTGCATGCCTTCAGCAGGCGTTGGGAATGGGTCGTAAGCCACAGCACAAAGTGTGCAAATCAACTTTCCTCCGTAGCCTGCTCTGTAGCAAGAAGATATTGGTGGTTGATGATAATATAGTGAACCGCAGAGTTGCTGCTGGTGCACTCAAAAAGTTTGGGGCTGATGTAGAGTGTGCTAAAAGTGGTGAAGAAGCTCTTAAGTGGCTTGAGCTACCACACAGTTTCGATGCCTGCTTCATGGATATTCAGATGCCCGAAATGGATGGGTATGTTCTTAAAACTTTTCTGGAATTGATACCTGGTACATAATGTAGATGTTTCTTTTGAAGATCACAAGTTGATTTATATTTCATCTTGAAAGGATAGAGCTAATGATTCCAATTTTCCTCTCTGTAATTTTGTATTACCTCTAACTTTATTTGATAAATGAGTACAGTAGGGAGGGGAAAGTATCACATTATCTCCAAAATTTCATGAAGAGGAGAGGAGATAAAAGTAAAAACATAAAGTTCGGTGGACTGCAACCATTCCAAGAATTTACAAAAAAAAAAAAAATCAATTCACTACTTAGTCCAATATAGGAATCTGGACCTATATTGTTGTAATAAGCCTAGCACTTCTGCTGCTTTCCCAACTTCCAATTCCTGACTGTCATGTGCATTGTTTCATTAGCAAACCAATCTGCCACCCATTCCCCTCACAGTAAATGTGTGTGAGGTGGCTTGAAATTTAGGACCCTGCCGTTATGTGTATTGATGATCAGTAGCATCTATTTGTAATTTATAGTCTCTTAACCTGGCAAGAACAATTTGCATATCTGTTACTGTCCTGCTATCACCAGTAGTCTATGTTACTGGATAAATTTTTTGATGCAAAAAAAAAAAAAAAGAAAGAAAGAGAGAGAGAGAAGGGAAATATCTGAATTTACAGAAAATTTCCTTGTGATTTGAATAACTGGACCGAGTCTTTATTCCAACACAGGCAGCTTCCTTGTAGTTTGTGAGAAACATGATCTTCTTCTATCAAAGAGATTGTTAAAATATTCAGCTGCACTGTTTTTCAGGTCCACTAGAATCCCGGTTGGTTTATGACTAAGTGGTCTTTAAACTTCTTTAGAGAAGAGACTAATATTTGCTCCTTCCAATGATTGCAGTTTTGAGGCAACTCGACGGATTAGGCAAATGGAGAGTATTGCAAATGAACAGATAAATGGAGGATGCACCATTGAAGGAATTGCGAGAAATGGTGTGTGGCATATGCCAATATTGGCGATGACAGCCGATGTTATCCATGCAACCTTAGACAAATGTCTTAAATGTGGGATGGATGGGTATGTGTCCAAACCATTCGAAGAGGAGAATCTCTATCAGGCCGTTGCTAAGTTCTTTGAATCCAAGCCCGTCTCAGACTCGTTGCAAGATTCCCAAACCAGAGGGACTGAACTCTTCTAAGTCAAAACTGCGTTATTGGATTAAACTGGAAACCAGCAATTTTTCAAATTCTGCTGGTGTCGTCCGGTAAGGAAAGCTGTGGATATTCTTTCGTGGCTGTGGTTTGAACACGATGTCTAACCAAGTTCACTTGGTTACCATCTCCCCGCTTATTGTTGTAAATTAAAAAGGGAAAGAGGCCGAATATGTAGAATATGGTATTGTTTTATAGAATTTTCAGTCAGACTTGCTATTGTAATGCTTTCTGATTTCTTGATTCCTATATTTATTTCATGAGAGGTCTATAATTTTATTGCGAAACTGTTGCGGACTTTAATTCTTTAGGCCAAATCTAGTATTGTGAGATATTGTTAGTAACATTTTATTTTTATTTTTTTCCTTTTTTTGGGTGGTAGTAACTTTATAGGTTGAACCCCAATCTTGAAGGCTCTTATCGCCCCGTCCCTAGAGTATCGTGAGAAAGGTAAATCGTGTGATGTGTCCCAACAGATCAGGAAACAAAAGTATGCTCGTATATTAGTGCCCACAAAGAGTTTAATTTCATATCTCAGGAATCGAACATTCATACGGCGGCTGCCAGAAAGGTTAAGCCTACCTCACTCTCGTCCTTTGCATCACTGGGTTATGTTCCGGGGGGTTGGGTGGTAATAACTTTGATTGCATGCACAATTGTTTTAGTGCTAGTTTATTATTAATTTTTCAATTGATCAAATCTAGTATTGTGAGATATTGTTAGTAACATTTTATTTTTATTTTTTTCCTTTTTTTGGGTGGTAGTAACTTTATAGGTTGAACCCCAATCTTGAAAGCTCTTATCGCCCCGTTCCTAGAGTATCGTGAGGGAGGTAAATCGTGTGATGTGTCCCAACATATCAAGAAACAAAAGTATGCTCGTATACTAGTGCCCACAAAGAGTTTAATTTCATATCTCAGGAATCGAACATTCACACGGCGGCTGCCAGAAAGGTTAAGCCTACCTCACTCCCGTCCTTTGTGTCACTGGGTTATGTTTTCATGGGGGTTGGGTGGTAGTAACTTTGATTGCATGCACAATTGTTTTAGTGCTAGTTTATTATTAATTTTTCAATTGGTCAAATCTAGTATTGTGAGATATTGTTAGTAACATTTTATTTTTATTTTTTTCCTTTTTTTGGGTGGTAGTAACTTTATAGGTTGAACCCCAATCTTGAAGGCTCTTATCGCCCCGTTCCTAGAGTATCGTGAGGGAGGTAAATCGTGTGATGTGTCCCAACATATCAAGAAACAAAAGTATGCTCGTATACTAGTGCCCACAAAGAGTTTAATTTCATATCTCAGGAATTGAACATTCACACGGCGGCTGCCAGAAAGGTTAAGCCTACCTCACTCCCGTCCTTTGTGTCACTGGGTTATGTTTTCATGGGGGTTGGGTGGTAGTAACTTTGATTGCATGCACAATTGTTTTAGTGCTAGTTTATTATTAATTTTTCAATTGGTCAAATTTTTATTTTAGTTACATATTTTATGAGATTCACAACAAAAATAATTTATGCTCAGATGCTAATTTCGAAATGAAAAGGTGATATTATTCATTCAATTCTAAATCGTTGATTGGGTCAAAGTATTTGATGACAACATTCTCTCCGTTCGTTTGAAGAAGATTCGCTCTCGAAACTTGTTTATCAATGTTTTTGGACGCCAACATTCATCACTACTATCTATGAATTATTTCGCAAGTATAAGAAAAAACAAATAGAATCTATACAGGTGTTGCCAAGCTTCCCTTTTTTATTTTTATTTTTTGTCATCTTGCAATGATAATGTGCCAAGTGTCAATTTGTATAATTTTCGTGAAAATTATTCTACACCTATAG